GCGCGTGGTCCTCGTTCGAAACAGTCGAATTATCCTTTCCCTCCGTTCTCCCAATTCTGATAATTAATAGCGGCGTTGAGCCCGAAATAGGGGAGGAACGTATATTCCCCTCTCTAGAAAGGAAAAGGAGAAGGAATAGAAGAAAAGAATAGAACGTGATAATATATATATATATATATATATATATTTTAGTCGTCGCACAGTAGTTCGAATGATAGGGACGAATAGATGAAATTTTGTTTCCAAAGTTTGATACATGGAGATTTAATTTTTAGAGAACGATATTGATTTTTATTATTACAATTTATTATTTTATTAAAAATATAAGTATGTAAAAAAATTGACATTGCGTTTAATTGGTATAGGATAAAAAAGAAAATGCAAGTAATCGATGTATAAAAATATATAAATATATAAATATACAGGAAAATAAAAGATATAAAATAAAAATGAAAATTAATAAATATTTAAATAAAAAAGGACAAAACAAAGTGTGTCATTGTAAATATTTTGAATTCGATGATTTCTCATCATCTTCATTCAATATTAATTTTTTTCTTCTTCTTTGTCTATATTTTTTTTTTTTTAATAAATTTCTTGATTTAACGAACTTAATTTTTTTTCTTTTGGTGGTTCTCAAAAACCGTTTATTAATGGATCAAAAAGTTTATTAATAACATTGTTAATAGATCCAAATTCGTATCTAGCCTGTCATTTTACAAGTATTTTTTTCTCGGTATCTACGAGAATTTTTATGCTTTGCGTTTCTTCCTACATTTGACCAGTTGGAAGTATGAAAAATTGAACGATACTCTTTGATAAAATAATTTGTGCAAAGTTATTCGCATGAATATATTAATATTATGACCAATAAAATTCTTAAATTCTTTATTAATGTTTAGTAATGTTCTTTATCAATTGCCATAATTTTTTTTTTTTTGGAAATTTAAAAAATATCGCGCTATATTTCTGTCATTGTACCAAAACCTGATTTTGGCTTATCGACAATTATGATATTATGCAACTCGAGTAAGAGCCTTTACTCATCTTAAATTTCGTTATTTTCAATTAATAAAAGCATCGATTTGCGAATATTCCTTGCCTTTTTATTTCTTTACTAGGAAATATTGTAAGCTTATATTTTAAAATAAGATATTTCTCCGAAACTATGATCCTGACAATTAAAATTAGTTCAGACAAAAGCCTTAAAAAAGAAAGAAAAAAAAAAAATTTCGAAAATGAAATTAGCTCGAGATGAATTTGATTTTGAACCGTTGAGAAACCGATGATTGATTCTAATCACGAAGTGAATTAGCGATAGAGAAAACGAAAGCAGCGAAGATAGCGGTATTGTTTGATTAATTCTTATATTCTTTATAAGTTGGTAAAAGAAGATCACTTATCTATGATTTATAAAAATTTTAGTGTATCAATTGACAGCTTCGACATCGATCGTCAATTATAATGAAATTCGATCAAATGGGAAGCTCCGTGTAACTTTAACAAAAGCAAAAAAAAAAAAAAGAAAAAAGATCGAAAGATTTATTCTCGCCGAAACAAACCAGATGAAAAAGGATAAACCAAGAATACATCTCGACGAATACTTTATAAATTATCACGCAAAAATACAGAAATTAATATCAAAAAAATCACTATTTTATTCAAAGATGCGAATAAGATGCAAATTATCAAAATATAATATTTTTGTAGGTTAAGATTTGTGTCGTCGTAAAAACACGTCTACGTGCATCCGTTAAGACCGTTCGTCGCGCATGCGCAACGAAATCATCTCGAGTCGCCACTTGGCCCGACTGAAAATGTCGTCGAGCGAAATAATAGCATCGAAAGCAAGAAGCTTTTCATCCATCGAGATCTCACTCTATCTTCTCTCTGGCTTTATCTTATTTGCATTCTTTATCCTATCTATTCTAATCTCTATCTATTCGATAGAGGCTGTAATGTTCGGTGTAGTGTTCGGTTCGCCGAATGAAGTCAGGAGAGCAGAGAGCTGGTGTGGCCGAGAGTGAATCCGTCCGCACCGCACGGTTGGCAACCGGATCCCGAGAGCCGTTCCGTTTACGGGTCGAGTTGGAACTCGAGAATAAGGGAAGGAGCGAAAGTTGGCGGGAGAAATCGAAAGGGAATAGAAGGAAAGATGCGTCATCACCTGGGATGGAAACGGGATTTTCGTCCTATCTTGAAAAGGTGTAAATCAAAGGGGGGGAAGGAGGGGTATTGATTCGAGAATCTCTTGATAAAAGAGACACGACTCGATTTCGTGACTTCCCCCGTTTCAAACTCGCGTGTATAATAGATTAATAGGCCGAGTCAACGAAATTCGATTTGAAAAAATAGTTTCGAACTAATAGCTAAAATCTGATTAAAATGATCGAAAGTTACGATTAATGGAATTATTAATCGTGACTATCGATTATTAAATAATCAATAATAAAAAGTTGTTGCAATCAATGATTATTAATTATTAATCGTGAAGTGATTACATTTTTTACACAGTTTTAGATTTTACATAAAAAATTCCTAGAACGAGTTATTTATTTATTTTTTACTGTAATTTGCGCTCTTAACGCGCAATTACAATCTTAACTCGTATATAAAACTCAAACACTTTATCCGATAATTCGTGAGTTCTTTTGATGTGTATATCATCGTGTGAAAATAATCTCTCAACAGAGGCGAAGATGGCAGTGATGTATGGTATATAAAATAGAAATGAGTAAAGCAAACGTCAACAATAACGTTCAGTTCTTCCGAATTAGTGATACAGCACTGGACAATTACGATAACGCGAACAACTTTATTATCCAATTATCGTTGACGATAAGAGGACAAGCTAACGATAATCGTTGAATGATTACGAATATAATAACAAGTAATAGCAATATAATCGTGATTACTGATTTTATTTCGAATAAAAAAAGAGTTATCGACTTATCTTTAAAGGAGAGATCTTGGAGGAAGAATTTTTCAGAATTTAAAAGCATCGTTTAAAGATAAACAGTATCGACGATTTAGCAATCGTCGAAGGCGTCGACGCTGATCGATTTATCGGATTACGTTATATCGTTAAATTTATCTACGATAAAAGGAAGTTGACCAAGTTTGAGCTTCGTTTTACACGTGTATATATATATATATATATATATA